TGCAGGTTCTCCAGAACTCTTCAACAAGCTAGAGAGGTTTTTTTGTTTGTATGTTTGTTTGTTTGTTTTTAAGTTTTGGGATTGATGCGTTCCAGGCTTCTTGTCACCACCCTGGGCAGAAAACCCACCTGGTTTGCTTAGATAAAAAGAGGATGGGTGGAGCCCATATCACGTTGGAACTTTAGTCCTGTGGATAGAAGTAGCAAAGACGGGATGGAAGGGGAGTGGCGGTGGCTCAGAGCTTGCCATGCAGAAGGTCCCAGGTTCGATCCCCGGCATCTCCAGTTAAAAGGGACCAGGCAGCAGGTGATGGGAAAGACCCTCAGCCTGAGACATCCTGGAGAGCAGCTGCCAGTCTGAGCAGACAAGGCTGTCCTTGACGGACAGGTAGCCTGGTTCACTGTAAGGCAGCTTTCTCTGTCTGATTTTGGGAGGGGCCGTGGCTCAGGGGTAGAGCTCCTGCTCAGCATGCAGGAGGCCCCAGGTCCAACCCCCTGGCATCTCCATTTAATAAGGCCAGGTGGTAGGTGATGTGAAAGGCCACTGCATTAAACCCTGGAGAGCTGCTCAGGTAGATGCGGGTCCAGTAGCCCCTTAGAGACCAACAAGATTAAAGCTTCCAAGAGTCAAAGCTCCATTCGTCAGATAGGTGGTCCCTAAGGAGCGACTGGACTCGAGTCTCGCTGTTCACCTGCAGACCGATATGGATACCCACCTGAAACTGTCTTCATGGATAGCGGTTTTCAGACTGAGTAGACGGTAACTGACCTTGAGGGATCAGTGGTCCAATTAAGTATAAGGCTGGTTATTGCCTTCTACGAAAACACAAACCCCAGGGTCTCCGCAGATGTTAAGGTATAAACGTAAAGAGCACAGACCATTTGAATGCAATGGGTGCGAGCACACGGTGCGTGGGATACAGTCCATATGCTTTAGCACCCTGGATTTTAGCAGGCTGCCTAGTCCCTCGGCTTCTCGTCGTCATCTTCTCGCTCCAGCTTGCCAGCCACGGTTAATTCCAGGTAGCTTGTTTCCTTTTCTTTCTCTGGATGCTAATTTCTCTGCTCTATTTTCGGAGCTGTTCTCCCCAACGTGCGCAAAGCGCATCTGATTGTTTATCCCTCAGCCTCCAGAGACCGCAAAGGCCTTGAGGCTGCTGCCGCTGCTGTTTGTTGGGCACACTTGGACTCTGAAGGGCTTGTTTTCGACAGGAGGCAGGGAGGCACAGGAGGCGATAAAGGCTGACAGCGCCTGTCGCCTGGCCCGGCGCTTTGCTTTGCCTGCCTGCACAGTGTGAGTGGAGGGGCTCCTTTGATATATTTATTTTTACCTACTAAATCGATTCTGTTTTCTCATAAATACTAATTTAACCGTGGGCGGTCGTAGCGCACTCCATGTGGATAGGGAGGGGTTTTGCCGCTGATACCCAAGTACCGGCTTCGATTCCCCCCCCCCCTCCACATCTTACTAGCTGCAGCATGTCGAAATTGCAAGCTGACGGAGAAGTGAGCAGCTTATAATATATGATGATCAATACCTCAGATCTGCTTTCTATGATGTGACATAAAAGAGAGAAACTGGGGGAGGGGAGGAACCGTGGAGGGTTTTTGTCGGTCCGTTTCCCAGAAGAATAGAAGGAAACCTCAGGCAGAGCCGGTGGGTTTTCCTTTCAAGGTCAAAGTGTGCTTATTTCCTCGTAAAACCACTCTCCCTTTCTATTTTTCCCCACTTCATATTTAATTTAGCTGGTGCTGGGAATCCCAGGTAGCAAAAATGGAAAGTTAGTCAATGCTGTAAGCATAAATACACAACTCTCTCTTCCTTCCTTCTTTCAATTTACAATTTCATTGGGGAAGGGCTCTGGCTCAGTGGCAGAGCACCTGCTTGGCGTGCAGAAGGTCCCAGGTTCAATCCCCGGCACCTCCAGTTAAAAAGATCTGGTAGTAGGCAATGTGGAAGACCTCTCCCTGAGACCCTGGAGAGTTGCTACAACTCTGCAATAATGAACTTGGTAGGGCGAGGCCACGGCCCAGTGGGAGAGCCTCTGCTTTGCATCTAGAAGGTGCCAAGTTCAATCCCCAGTCTCTCCAGTTGAAAGCACCAGACAGTAGGTGATGTGAAAGAACTCTGCCCGAGGACCCTGGAGAGCCGCTGCCAGACTCAGTAGACGTTACTAACCTTGATAGGCTGATGGTCTGATTCAGTAGAAGGCAGCTTCATGTGAGAAAAAGAGAAAGAGGTAGGTGATGGGACTTGGGTCACATCAAGCAGCAGATCTGTGAGGAGTTCTGAATCACAACTGATTTTCAGGCCACAGAGATCAGTTCCTCTTTGGGTTGCCAATTCTGGCTTGGGAAATTCCTGGAGATTTGGGGGTAGTAGCTAGAGAGAGTGGGGATGTGATGAGAGTCCACCCTCCAAAGCTGCCATTTCCTCCAGGGGAATTGGTCTCTCTGGCCCAGACATCAGAGAGCCAGTTTGGTGTAGTGGTTAGGAGTGTGGACTCTAATCTGGGAGAACCGGGTTTGATTCCCCACGCCTCCACATGCAGCTGCTGGCGTGACCTTGGGTCAGTTACAAGTTCTTTCAGAGCTGTTCTCTCACAAGAAATTCTGGAAAGAGCTCTCTCAGCTCCGCCTACCTCACAGGATGTCTGTTGTGGGGAGGGGAAGGGGAAGGAGACTGTAAGCCACTCTGAGACTCCTTCGGGTAGTGAAGGGCAGGGTATAAATCCAATCTCCTCCTCCTCCTCCTCCTCTTCTTCTCCTTCTCCTCATCCTCCTCCTTTTTCTTGTAATGCTGGGAGAACTCCAGGCCTCACCTGAAGGCTGGACACCCTAGTTGCCCTGGAGGAAATGGCAGCTTCCAAGGGTAAACTCTGTTGGCATCACATTCCCATTGAGCTCTCTCCAGTGCCCAAGCCCCAACCACGCCAGGCATTGCCCCCGATCTCCAGGAACTTCCCACCGCGTTGCTTTCCTTAGGAGCGGGGCCTGGCTGGGGCAAGCTGAGCCCTGTGGCCATAATGGGAGCTCCATTTGGTTGGCCACAGCAATGCCAAAAGTGGCTTCCTCATGGGCCAGTATGAGAGAACCCCAAGAATAAGTCTGTGCCTGTGGCTATCACTGCTAGGGGCTGGGTCAAGCAGAGCAGCCCTTGCATCCCATGAGCCCTTGCTCCTGGCCTCCAGGGAATGGAGCCCAGCAGAAGTCTCCCAGGAAGTTCAAGGGTCCGACTGCCCACGGTGCAGGAGAAGACCAAAGAGAGCTGTCGCACAAGGATGCCATCAGCTGGGAAGTGGTTGAGAATAAAGCAAATAATCTCATTGGGGAATCCAGACCCTTGGAAGTGCCTCATCCCGATTCAGATGGCAACAGAGATCCGTCTTTCTCTGTGTGTTGCTTGGTATTGGCTTCATGGATTCAAATCGAGTCCAGAAGTCTGTGTCAGAAGTCTGAAATTCTGCAGCAGGGAGAGATCGTGAATATTGGACAACTTGCCGTTTATTTGCACCAAACGCCCCATGCCGTTTATTTGCACCAAAGGAGCAGAGTGGTCACTTTTAAATTGGCCAGTGGGATTCGTCAGTAGACTGCATTCACGTGTAACAGCCCAACAATATGTCTACATATATACACACAAAGCTGTATTATACTGAATCGGCCCATCAAAGTCAGTATCATCACTGCCTGGCAGCGGCTGTCCAGGGTTCTCATGCAGAGGTCTTTCACATCATCTACGGCCTGGTCTTCTTAACTGGAGATGCCGGGGATTGAACCTACACCTTGCGCATACCAAGCAGATGCTCTGCCACTGAGCCATGACTCTAGTGTGTCTCTATTCACAGTCTGCCAAGGTACATTGCTCACAAACACACACATACCGGCACAGGCCAACTCTCTCTCTCTCTCTCTCTCTCTCTCTCTCTCTCTCTCTCTCTCACACACACACACACATATACCATAATCACA